ACAAAATAATTTGAAACATGTTTTCAATGGTTTAAAAAAAGTCTTTAATCACTAGCCAAATAACACATTAGATGTAAGATAATGATGTATATTTCCAACTAAATACATTCAATTATTCTATTAAAAAGAATATTGTGTAGTCATAAAGTAAAATTTCAACAATACTATTAAAGATAAAATTCTACTTACAATAGCAATAACAGAGATAAAATCACAAGAAAAAGAGAAGATGGTAAAGCTCTATGAAGGTTTCACTCAAATCATTACAAAAGTAAGAATTATTGTAAATAAGTCTTGGTCTCTCTCACTCTCTTTTTTTTGTTGTTTTTTTTTTGTTTTTAGAGACAGGGTCTCACTATGTAGTTGAGACTGACCTAGAATTTATTATGTACCCCAGGCTGGTCTCAAACTCACAGCAATCCTCCTGCCTCAGCCTCCTGGGTGCTGGGAATATAGGCGTGCACCACCATGCCCAGACGGTCTTGATCTCTTTTGAGCAGGTTTATTTTGCCTAAGAAATGTCTTATAGTGGTATCTCTATAGTAATCCTGAAATGATTCTTAGTATTGTTCATAGATTGAGTAACTGAGAAAGGAGAAACAAAGAAGATCATTGTATAATGAGAACTAAAAGCATTGCTGAAAGAAATTAAAGAATATTATGCGGTATTCCAGCCAGAAATGCACAGCTCACAGCCAACTGAGAGGAAACATTTGAAAAATCCGAATGGTAATGTCCACTAAAATAACTGGCTCAAATACTTCACATATATTGACAATGTCTCAAATAAAGAACAAGACTAAAAGATTGTCCCAGATTAAAAGAACTAAATCATCATAATAGCTAAATGTTTGATCCCAGGTGGCATTCTGCCTGGGGGGAAATTGCTTTCACAAGTTTTACTAAATGAGGGGATGAAAGTGGAATATAGAAAACAAGATAAAAAATTAATATTAAATTTTCTAAAATGAGGGCCGGGGATTTAGCTCAGTGATTCTGCCACCTGCCTTGCAATCACAAGGACCCGAGTTCGATCCCCAGTACCAAAAAAAAAAAAATCTAAAATGAATATTATACTGAATTTATGGGGTTATCATTGTTTTGAGAAAATACATATTGAAAAAGTAACCCTGTGGAGCTTATGGTCAGGAGTCTCCCCTTAATAACATGTAAGAAGAATTTGTATCTCTCAGACCAGCTGTGACCTTTGAAGAGCTATGGTGTAAAGGGAAATAATGTATAAAATCTATTGTTAAAACCTGTGGGGGTGTGTAAGATAAAACGACAAAGCATGCTGAAATATGTAAAAATTAGTGAGTCTAGGTAAAGCATATATCGATGTTTTGTTTAAATTTTCAAAATTAAAAATTGTAGTTTCAATGATAGAAGAAAGTACACGGGCACGGGGGAGAAGACAAAAGTAATCTGTAAGTCAAGTTCTACTCATGGGCTGCCAGTTTGTGGCCTCTAATTTAAAATATGATTTGAATAAAATATGACTTTGACTTTCCTGAAATAGTTAAACACACACACAAACCATCCCTACCCATTTGCAGAATCAATAAATACAAAAACTTTTCATCTTAAAGCTGATTTTATGTGCTATTGCCTAGATACGATTCCTTCCTAACATTTTGAAAGAGGTTATAAAGAGGAAATTGGAAAGCAATGCACCATCACGTTGTAAGAATTTCAGCTCTGGAACTGGGGATTTAGCTCAGTGGCACTGTGCCTGCCTTGTGAATGCCAGGTCCTGAGTTCGATGATCCCTGGTACAAGAAAAAAAAAGAAAAGAATTTCAGCTCTGAGTTAATGATTCTAGTGAGGTCTGAAAGGACCCGTGCTCCTCACAAGCCTCCTGCCCAGTGGCTTCTCTTTAGTACATGGCAGGGGCATCGTTTCCTCTGTTGGTTTGGAGAGTAAGGAATACAGCAGTTCCCCTTTCCAGATAAAAAATTCTCTCTTCAATGTGCCATGAGTGCTCCTGTCATTATGGTATACGTTACACATCTTTTCAGCATACTTCAGTTATCTGGGTTTTTTTTTTTTCTCTCAGTGCCATGAACACAGGATACATGCGCAATTGGCGAAAGACCATTGTAAAAGGTGGAATGTCATCGGTGAAGAATAAGCACGTGGAATCATGATAGAATTTTTTTTTTTTTTTTGGTACTGGGGATTGAACTCAGGTCCTTGCGCTTGCAAAGCAGGCCACCGAACCACTGAGCTAAATCCCTGGCCCTCATGATACAAATTTGATAGATTAGCCTCACCTAACTCTTTCATTTCATCACCCCTGCATAAGCCTCTGTCAGTAATTTCCCTTCACTGGAGGCTCAGTGTTATCTCTAGAAAGACTGAATTAAATTGCATCATTAGATCCTTGTAGGTGTAGTAACTTCCCTTATCTAATTCAGAAGTAAATATTTTTTCCACTTTCTACTTGAGGCTGGGTAAGAAGAGTCATTCGTAACACTAACCTCATATTTTTCAGAGTAATTTAATTTTTATTTAATTATTTAATTGCAAAATTAAAAACATATCTTATGATATATTTATATATCTTATGATATTATTTTGTATATATATACATATACATATATATATATATATATGGTAGAAATGGTAAATCAGTATAATTAACATAGCTATTGCATCACATACTTATTTTTGTGATAAGAACATTTAAAGTCAACTCATTAATTTTCAAGTATATAATATATATCTTAAAAAATGTTTTTCTCTTTTGTTTTTTTGAGGCAAGTTCCCCCTTTGTAGTTCAGGCTGACCCTGAATTCACTATGGAGCCCAGGCTGGCCCTGAACTCACGGCAATCCTCTTGCCTTGGCTTTCAGAGTGCTGGGAATAGAGGCATGTGCTACACACCCAGCTCATATATAATATATTGTTAATTGTCATTATCATATTTTAATATTTTGTAATAGATATCCCAAACTTAATCCTTCTGTATAACTGAAATTTTGTATCCTTTGCAGTGGCCCCCATGCAATTATTATTATTATTATTAATTTTGACCACGGAGTCACATAGCCCCAGCCCTGTTATTGCATGCTTTTAGACTATATTCTCCATCAGGGAAAATGTCAAACATAGATTCCCAATTAATATGTATTTATTGGCATAAGATATCCATGCACGCTTCCACTAATAGCTCCATTTTAAAAAGCACATTTAAAATAGGTATTTTAGAGGAAAGATACAAAAAATAAACTCTAGCTGGGCCTGGTGGTGCACTCCTGTAATCCCAGTACTTGGGAGGCAGATGCAGGAGGATCGCTTCGGGTTCAAGTCCAGCTTGGGCTACGTGGTAAATTCAAGATCAGCCTGAACTACATAGCGAGACCCTGTTTCAAAAAACCAAAGTGGCTGGGGATTTAGTTCAGTGGTTCCGCTGCCTGTCTTGCAAACGCAAGGTCCCGAGTTGGATCTCCAGTACCAAAAATAAAAATAAAAAAGGTTCGGGCCGGAGATTTAGCTCAGTGGTTCCTCCAAAAAATCCCCCAAACAAAACAAAAAACTGTAAAGGTCCCCTAATACATTTTTTCCTGCAGGCCATAAATCTCTATACCGATGCAACTTTGGAGCCAAGAGTTTAGGCCTTCTGGTGTCATGTGAGGCCAGTCACCTGTTCACAGTTGACCTTCCTCTCTTCCCTTGCTGCTGAGACCCCAATGCCCTCCACCGCCTGTCATCTCCATGGCTCACAGCTCGCGGAACAACTCCTGCATTGTAACCTCGCCTTGTTTTGCTCTTGCTTTCTTCTGTTTTTCTCTTCAGGGGAAAACACACACCCCACAGACACTACCTGCTACCTCATGTTCCTCGACCCCAAGTCACCTGGTTTGTGAAGCGTTCCTCCCAGTGCGGGTTATTCGCGCCTCTCTTAGAGGATGACCTCACAGTACAGTACAGTTCACCAGGTTAATTTAGGGACATTGTGTTGGGCACTTAAATTACATGAGCTTTTGAATTCCACAAAATTTTGGTCGGTGAAAGCTAGAATTATCTTATTTTTGTCTTTCCTTGATTCCTAAGAACTTATACCTAGTAAGGGCCCCATAAAAGTTTACTGAATTTTATTTCAGTACCACAGATGCAGTAATTCTTTTAAAAAAACACGTTTTCCAGTAAAGTTCTGTAGGTGAGAATGATGATCCCATAATAAAGATTACAAGTAAAACCAGTCCATAAGCACCTGATGTATATGAAAAATTAATGGTTACTGAATATAACAGCTGTGATTAAAACCTAATTTCTACTTTCTTCTTTCAGTAGCATTTTCCAAAGTGTTATTCTAGGAATGCTATTCCTGTGAGACACTAAAATAAGTAAAATAAAATAGAAATAATGATTTCATCATTAAATATAGCTTCTTCATTTAATATTTAACTTGTTCAAACTAATAATAACATATTTGGTGAACAAAGTTCTCCCATTAATCTGTTTTTAGCTTTCCTGAGTCATGGTCGGGGTGGCAGTGTCTCATGGCACTAGATTTACCCAGGAAGGGCATGGGCATCAGCCCCATGGAGCTCCTGCCTTATGAAAGCAGCTGTCCTGCACTCAAGGTATAAGACCCAAAGAAATCCCACGACCCAGGAGTCAGTGACTGACCTTGGAAAAGGACATATATTAAAACAAGTCCTCGCTTGTGTGGTCAAGACTGCTGCTGCTGACCTTTTTTTTTTTTGGTACCAGGATCAAATTCCGGACCTTGTGCTAGAAGGCAGGTGGCGGCAACACTGAGCTAAATCCCCGGCCCTGATCTTCTTATACATAAAAATAAACACAGTCACCCTAGGGACTGACACAGGGCTCCTTGTTAACTGGCTACTAAACCTACTGGCAAAATAAGACTGATTACATTCAGAGCAGTGGAAAGGCCTAAACCAGCATGTTTCAGCCACCTGCCTGCCAGTGATTTCTTTGAGAAGCTAAAGAAGAGCAATGAAATCTTTATAAAGACACATAAGGGTCCTGGGAAAAATTTACACCCCTGTCATATTAGGCTACAAGGCCCTGGAGTTTCCTTTGTCTCCTGTGCCTTCATTTGTGTGTGTTATATGCTTTCAAAATCACTTGTGGGACCCTGAATAACTTCTTAGACCCTTAAACATTCATATAAGGTCTCCAGGAGTATTTTGGAGAGAAGACATTAAAGCTCCCAAATCTATACCTCCCAAGAATTTAAGCAAAGATGTTTTAAAAACATAAACAGAGCCCTTTGAATTATATAGGAAAGGAGGGAGGGAGATGGAGAAGCAGAAAGAAGGAAAGAGAGAGAGAGAGAAGGAAAGGGAGAGGGATAGAGAGAGAAAAAGAGACAGTAAAAGAGCAAGCCTGGGCCCCAAAGTCTAGCAAAAAGGATTAGAAAATACATGAACTGAATTAAAGGGAATATTGGTAAGGAAGAAATTGTAGTCTTTGGCCTCAAAATACAATGGCAAATCTACAAAATCCTAAATTTACACATGGTTCTGATTATTCCCCTTTTCGGAATTAGGCTTTTAAAATGATTAACTTTTAAGTAATGATAGTTTTGAAAAAATTCAGGTGATGATGTCCTTTTAAAGCAAAAGGAAGATTTCAGCCTAGTTTCAACAAAACCAGAGGCAGGGAACTGTTCAGAGAGAGAAAGAGTACTAAAATAGATAACTGACTTCTTCTGAGCCCCAAATATGGGGAAATTTGGATATGTCATCCAAATTTTCGGTCCCCACGCCTCCTCTGTGATGTGCCGAAGGCTTTATAAACACAAGGTTGGTGTGTAGTCAGCCAAGGGGCAAAGGGCAGGCCATTTCCTACCCTATTTTAGTTGGGAATTTGATCTAATCTCTTCTGCTGCCCCAAGAGCTGTCTCAGCTGAGAGCCAAGGACAGCAACAGCTGGTTTCAGTGGAGAAACCGTGAGGAGGGACTGGTGTGGGAACCACGCAGGCTAAAGGGCACAGGTCTGACGATAATGGCTTACCTTTAAAACTCTCTGATTAAATAAATTGTGGAACCTGTTATTAATTGTCAACTAATTTCTGCATTTCTTTTAATGTTGCCTCTATCCTGACATAATAAGGCATTGTGCTTTAACCTTCTTTGGTTTGGGCAGAGATTAATTTTCTAAATAGTTGCTAAGCACTGGCTATATGTGGGCACTCTATTGGCTCAGTGAAGGTGCAAAACTAAATTACCTGGAAAGGACTTAGACTATTCTATCTATCTATCTATCTATCTATCTATCTATCTATCTATCTATCTATGTATATCTATTTATCATCTATCATCTATGTATATCTATTTATCTATTAGACTGTAATTGTATATAAATTATAAAATATATGTTACAAATAATATATATAGTACAGACTATCTCTATACTTACTGTACACTATACATTATATACTCTATAAACTATATAATATATATAATATACTATACACACACACACACGCATGCACACACACATATATTTGGGCCCACTCACCTCCTGAGAACATAACAGTTGTTTGGGAGCAATGACACAGAAAGCTTATTTTGGGCTGGGGATTTAGCTCAGTGGTTCCACTGCCTGCCTCACAAGTTCAAGGTCCTGAGTATGATCTCTGGTACCAAAAAAAAAGCTTTATAAAAGCATAAATGTTTACATTGAAGTTACAAGGGGAAGATACTATAGAAAACAGTACTTCATTCCCCTTACATTGTTTGGATGTCAGAGGCTTACAAACTGCATTACTATCTTTAAAAGAAGTAGTGCCAGAAGAAACAGAGACGTTAAAAATATCAGTATCAATTTGGGACATAAAACAAGGTTTCACAGCTCAGAAATAGATTAATTATGAGCGCAGAAAAACCAGGGACCGGGCATTGAGATTCCACACACAAAAGGCTCACTTGAGAACTCAGAAAATACGTTAGGAAAGTTGTAATCTGTTCTCTGCCGGGTGCCGTTGCGGGGATGCAGGAGGGGAATATGCCTCCACACAGACTCATGAGACTGCATCACGGTTCCTCCTACAGACCTCAGGACACGCCATGGACCAGTCACATGGCTGGGTCACCTTCTGGACAGGCGGAACTGATAGGACAGGATTTCTCACGACACAACTTTTTAAATGTATCAGCTAGCTTACAGGCCAATATAAGAAAGACATACATCTTCAGATCACAAGTGCTTTTAGTATGAGAGCTGATGAAAGGTTTGTTTGCCTTTAAATTTGTGCATGTGGTAATCAGGTCAAATGAATACTAGCTCTAAAAGCATGAGAAGCCAAAAAAATGCATCGCAGAATTTATAAAAGTAAGTCATGAAAAATTTGGACTGCACAAATATGAAGGTTACTACTAAAATAGCATAAAGAAAAGTTAGGTTAAAACAAGTAAATAAAGATACAAGTTATTTTAGAATAGCTATAAAATTTATTTCAGTCTATTCACCACCTAATATACATTATAAGGATATTAAATTGGGTCAATAAAATGAAGCAAATTTTCAGATTAATCATCTAAATTGTAATTTTATTTAAAAGTTTTCTCTTTTTAAAAATTTATTTGATAAAATACTACTATACCAAAACAGCTACATTCATGAAATAATATAGTTTAATACATTCAAAATAGGTTCAATTTTATCAAACTGTATACATTAAATATATAACTTATTGTCTATCAATCATATATCAGTAAACCTGCACATACACATGTAGATACCTGTAAAGTCATACTACCACAACGATACAACAGAATGGACACATAACACCGAAGGGATGACACTTCAGGAAAGATTAGTGTCAGTGCTTTTATCAAGTCCTTAAATCACTTGAATATCCTTTCTGAAGTAGAACATATTGAAGCAACTCTAATGAAATAATAATGATAAATTATCTGATGATAATAATGCTAAATGATCAGTCAAATTAGGAGATCCCACTAAATGATTAGTCAAATACTAAACTGTTCACTCATCAAGTTGGTGAGTATAGACAGAAAATTATAGCTGCAAATGCTATATATCTAGGAAACTGAAAAATTGATTTCTTGCTACATTTAGGTGAAAAATACCAGACAGAAATCAAAGCCTGTGCATTATAAAAGAAGATAATCTTCCCACTAAAAACAGATTTAACATGTTGTAAGCACTTCATTTAAATCTTTCCATACTTACTCCAAGCTTCCAAATACATTGGCTATCTTACAGTTGTGGGAAGAAAAATTCTTCTTAAAATTTTTCTGAATTGCTGTCCTCTTGATTTTTTGGTGCACAGGTAAATTGTTAGACTGTCTGTCTTCTGAATTAAGTTCCACAAGCTTTTTTAGATAGACTCAGGAAGAACTGGCCAGGAAAAAGAATATATAAATTAGCTGTTATTGTAACAGGAAAAGACACTAGTTTAAAAATAATTGCTATTGCTGGTCTTCTCTATCCTTTTGAATTTCTGAACATTGTAAACCAAACACCGGATGACCCAGTGCAACTAGGGGGGAGTATACATATAAACAGTTAATAAATCTGTTGTTTGAAGTTTGAGGCTGAACAGGAAACAAAGATAAAATAGGAAACAATGAGAGTATGGGGGTGGGGAAATTTGTTTCTGATTTTATTATACACACACAAATGCATGCATGTATGTAAATAGAAACACCATATAGCATATGATTTAAAATAAAAAAGAGAAATCACACATGACAATATGTATTTTATTCTAAAAAGTTTGCAACTTCAAAGGCCACACTTTGTCAGACTCCATGTGCGGACACAGTGGGACCCCACTCGCTGAGGGGAGCTCACAGAAAGCTGAGGAGTAGATCTCTTTGGCAGTGCCAGTACTTAGAGGACTTTGGCGGGCAGTATTGGTATTTGGACAGATTTAGGGCTGTGGTTATGGAAAGGGTGGGTCTTTCAAGAGGCAATAAATTCAGGTTGGTCCTTCCTTGGTAGTTAAGAGTCCCAGAAGTTAAATATCAAGCAATGGCAACTTTGAGTCTATAAAAGTAGGAGGAAGGCAGGGGATGGTGGTGCATGCCTGTAATTCCAGCACTCAGGACACTGATGCAGGAGGATTACTGCAAATTAAGTTCAGGGCAGCCTGGGTGACATAGTGAGTTCAAAGCCAGCCTAGACTACATAATGAGTCCCTGTTTCAAAAAACTAAAAAACGAAATAAAATAAAATAAAGATAGTTGGGTGTACAAATGCTTTTATTAAAAATATCAAAAGATTTAGTCCTTGTATAAGTAAAGATGAAAGAATTCTATATTATATTTATAATTATAGTCTACAGTATTATAAACCTACTATAGCATTATATGATTAAAACAATTGAGAAATATGATGGCTTCTTCTTTTCATAAAATGATGTGTCTTCCACCCATCACTGCCAAGTAATACTTTTGGTGAGTAAAATATCTGAGCAAGGTGTGAAAATCATACTTATATAATGTTTTTAAATGACTTTCAATAATGATACCTTTTAGCAGAAAAATAATAGCAATCATGCTCTCTGAAGAGTTAGTTTTTAACTTGTCCCCATCTTGGTGAATATTAATAAAATAATTTATATATTGTCTGGGGTGATGGATTATCCCAGCTTTTGTTGTCTTTCTTTATCTCCGTGGCAAGTTGATTCTTTTATAGGAGGGAATATGAGAAGAAATTCAAATCAACCAAAGATGTAAGTCGGTGAGAAACCAATTGGCAATTAATAAGAGTTTTCAGTATTGGTTACTATTTGAAAAATCAGTAAACTGAGGGGAAGCAGCACTTTCTCTGTGGAGTGAGATCTACTTGTGCCAATTCTTCCTTCTTGCTTCATAATTGCATAACCTTGGGCTATTTGCTAATTTTGCTATATATTCATTTTGTTCATCTGGTAATATAAGAGTAAGGCCTATTGCAGAATTGTGTGTCTATTAAATTAGGTAATATTTTAAAAGTACAATCTGGTGCATAATCAAACATAATAAATGGACATCATGGCCATCGTTTTTATTATTTTAATGCTCCCTATGATGTTCACTGGCAATTAAAAGTCCCTCCATGACAGCTTTATGTAGTATTTATAGCTGGATTTGGGTGACAAGTAGGTTAGTCTGCAACTGCACTTAATAATGAGTGAAATAATAAGGTTCTTTCCCAAGTTGCTGAAGAGCAGAGCTAAGTAGCTGGGCCTGGATATCAGCCCTGAGAGAAAGTGACTAGAGCTGTTGGTAAGAAAACTGTGTGGAAAGATGTACATGAAGTAGACACAACTAAAAAGGATCTTCAAAGACCTGGCAATCTTTTTCTCTCACCACCTATCACTAGGAAATGCGATCCCTAGGAACCAGGGAATGATTTGTTCTAAAATAAGAATTTATTCAATGCTATAGCCCAAGAATTAAATAGACAAAAGTGAAAGTTTCACAACACATACCGTCTGTCCTCCCATTGCCTCGCCCTCAGCTCCCAGGCAAACAGCCATCTACTACCTGTCATTACAGTTTGCATTTCCCAGGGTTTCATTTAAAAGGGATCATACACTATGGACCCTTTTCAGGAAAGACTGGAGGCTTACCTTGAGTCTTTCCTCAATCGCTGAGAAATTCTCTCATGTTTTAAATTTGGTATATTTGCTTTTTAAATTTTTTCTTTCCAATTTTAACGTTTATTAGTACACGTTTGCAGTACACAGTGATCATTTTCATCGTGGGGTGTCAGTATACGCACATAACACGTCTTAATTGTTCTAACAAGCCTTCGCCTTCCCTCACTCTCCCTTCCCTCCTCCCCTTGGTCTCCTTTCCATTCACAAAAGACTTCCATGCATTATCCCCTGTGGTGGTTCTTAATCTTGGTTATGCCACAAATCGCAAATCCTTTTGAGAGTCTGAATGATTCTGTGAGTCATTTTCCCATTTAAAAAAATGTACTAGTGTGCATTCCCATAAAACATTGCACATAACTTCAGAGTGTTCAGAGGAAAGAATTCACTTCACCCCAAAGTTTTGGTAGCTCCCAAATACATGATCAGGCTAAGAATCTTGATCCCTTCAAAGATAGGAAAGGCACATTCATATTTCAGGATGTTGACCAAAAAACTTATGCTTCTCAGTAGATGTTTTTCCCTCTTCCATTCTGGAGAACATGTTATGCAACGTTACTTTCATCTATCTTTTACGGAAAGGTTGTCTTTTAGCTGTTTTTATTTCTGTAATTAGTTTTTTATATGTACTTTGAGAAGGCATTCTTGTTTTGATTTTTAACATAGAAGCCAGCCTTGAATTAATAATAAATTCTAAAAATTCTGAGTTTTCATGACATTTTTTTCTCTTACGCAGAATTTGTTCTTATTTAAAAAAATAAAGCCCCATAGGAAATCAACCTTTTAATTTGATGCTTATATCGATTTTAGTAGATGAATTATCATGTGCAGTCTTATGTATTTAAATATATTTCAGACAATTATTTTAGTTTTATTTTTAATTGAAAAATGAATAATGAATAATGGGTCACAGAATGACGTTCTGCTGTTTATATTTAGTGGATTGTTCAGAAGAATTCGTATATCCACCTCCTCACACACTGGACTGACTGCTCAGCTAGATCACTGATTCAGAGCATTGACTCCATGATTACATCTAACAACCATGGGCCAGGAATATACTTTAGAGATACTCTAGAAACACGATATCGAGTGTAAGTGCATATTTCTATATACACGTATGCATATAAATTATGTATAGTCATACATAGTCTAACGATGAGGACATGCCCCGAGAAATGGATTATGGGGTTCATTACTGGGCAAACATCACAGAGGCACTTAGAGAAACCCAGGTGGAATAGGGCAATAGCTCCATGTGGCCTCCTCGTGCAAGCAAGAGATGCAGTCAAGTGAGAGGTATGAGACTCCCGCTAGTGTAACCTGGCATACTGTTTTACTGTAAAAACCAAAGCCTTTTTTCTAAGTATATGTATGAAGAACACACTTCAAAATAATGATTAAAAGTGTAGTGTAGTAAACACATAAATCAGTGAATCACGTACTGTTATAATCAATTATTATATCCTGCACATGACTGTACAAACTGGCAGCACAGGAAGTATGTTTGCTTGTATTAGCATCACCACAACCCAGGAGTAGTACATTTACACTGGCTGCAGTGAGTAGCGGGTAGGAACTCTACGGCTCCTTTATAATCTTATGTGGTCACTGCTATGTGTGCAGTCTACCATTGACCGAAACATCATTATATCACACATGATAATATACTCATGATATATAGATAAAGGATAAAGCACTTGCCCAACCATTTGCAGACGTAAATTGTCTTGGAAAATGATTTCCATCTCTATATATGAAACAATCCATCAGATTAAAACACTTCTTGATATGATTCAGTATTTCTCAAGGAGAAATTGTATGCTTAGGCAAAAACTTCTTTTTCTACCTTTCCTTCAGCAATAAATGTGCAACATTGTTTATCTAAGGAACAAATATAAAAGAAGAGACATTGCTTAAGAGAAGATGATGGGTCACCTGACGAACTACAGCCTGAAGGTGCAATTTCCTCACCTCAAATGCCTGAAAAAGGAAAAGAAAGAAAGTCAATTCTAAGAAAGCTTTAATGCTAACTTTGATCTCAGTTATGGGGAGCCATGAGCAGAAAGCTCATGCTAACATCTAGTAATAAATTAGGATTCAAAAGCTTCTAGAGGATATACTATGAAATGTTTAATAAAAAGTTGAATAAATTGTAATAATGGCTTTGTCGTATTAAGTTGAAAGAGATACTTCTTTTTCATAAAGCATTTGTGAATATTGACATGTCACAGGAAATTAAAACAAATGATTTCTAGCCTCATGTGCCTGCAGGTGAACAACATAGAGGAGTTCTTACCTGGGGGTCTAAGAGATGCTTCCACCCCCAGCTGGGGAAACCGCTAGAGTTGTTATGTTGGCCAAGTTCATTTAATCCTCTCTCTAGGCCTCCACCTGCCTGCTCCTAAAATGCGCACAAAAAAGTAGATCATCTCTGAGATTCCTTTTGTCTACAATGACCTGTTCCACTACTCCTGTAAATTACACAGTACTCATGTTTCAGTATACACACATAAATCCTTAGCCCTGATAGGAATATTCTTTTAAAAAAAAGAAGAAGAATTAAATAGGAAACACAGGCATGTTTATTCAGTGGCCATTATTGGGATTTAGAACATATAAAAAGCATAAAGAATGGATTATGGTCAACTTTTAGTATTTGCATGAACACTACATAATTGTATATTATTTAGGGAAAATATTTTTCAAACTACAATGCTCTAATTATCACTTTTACATTAATGCTTTTAATTTGACAAGTCTTATGTTTATCAAATGTTCTATTACTTTCAGTGATAATTTCAGATTCTCTAGGCAAACATTATTGAGGTAATAGAAAAACATCTCAGAACAGTTTAAAGAGACAAAACAAAGAGCTATATGAGCATTTGTACAATACTAGCAAAAGATACTCTACTTCCATTTTGTTTTCTTCTCTGCTTTGTATAGAAACATTATTCATTTTTGTGGGCGGGGCATTAAATGATCTTGAATTATTAAGTGAGAACATTCTTCTTTTTCAGTTATCTTTCATTCTTTCTGATTATGCCAGAATAAAATAGATACACAAATAGATAGACAGACAGGGGAATCCACAAAGTGAAATGTTTTCTGTGGAAAGCAAGAAAGAATCTAATTCATCAGAGAGACAAAAACCCCATGAAAAGGCCGATAGCTTTGCCACTAAGATAGCTTGGTTGCTAGGTTAAAATGGTATAAGACCTCTGTTCAGACTATACGTCTTTCATTTTCGCTACAGCATATATACATACTCAATCTGACAATGAATGTTCTTCCAATTCCTCCTCCAGTGTTGCTTTCTTGTTTAGTTCCTTCCAGTTCTTTGCAGCGCACAAGAGTAAGGCAAGCAGTAGAAGAACACTTTCAGAGTCACCACCCTGCAGAGGAGCTCCCCTGAACACTGAAAGAGTGGTCAGCTCCTTACTCACCACTCAGAAGCCCTGACGCCTGTAGGAAAAGAGCAGATCATCTACTCTAGACTCCCAATTAAAGTTAAGTACAGTTGTTCCATTCTTTTTATATGCAGACATCAACTGCACTATTACTCAGTAATATTTATCTTTAAAGATAGATGATAGATAAATCATAGATAGAGACAGTTTTTTTGTTTTGTTTTGTTTTGTGGTTTTTTGGTTTTGTTTTTGTTTTTGTAGTAGCAGGGACTGGACCCAAAGCTTTCCCACTGAACTACATTCCTAGCTTACCCCTAATGATATTTTGTTTTTTATTTCTTTTGATACTGGGGAATCAAACTCGGGTCCTTGTGCTTGTGAGGCAGGTGGCAGAATCACTGAGCTAAATCCCTGGCCCCAATTCTTTTAAATTTTGAGACAGGGTTTAGCTAAATTGCTAAATTGCTCAGCTGGGGCTTGCACTCCCAATCCTCCTGCCTCACCCTCCCAGAGTACTGGGATTGCAGGCATGTGCCATCATGCCCAGCTCAAATATCTCAATTTTTATTCAAATAAAATTTGAATAAATAGTATTTTCCTAGCCTGTTTCATTTATCAAAATAAAAGTTAAATATAAGATGTACACAATAAATGCAATATACTATTATTTAACTCATACTAAACAAGCTATAATCTGGTCGCTGCCTTCTATGTTATCACACGGTGTTACTCAGAAAATAGTCTCTTTTTTTTTCTTTTTATTGAGTTTATTGGTACATTCTAGGTGTACAGTACAGTTACATTCATTACTGGGATCTTGTACCTTTTTCCATGATAGGTCTTGGTTCTCATTTTTTAGATAATAGTCTTAATAATCTGGAATTAACACACTTTCCCTGGCATAATCAGAAAGAATGAAAGATAACTGAGAAGGAAGAATGTTCTTACTTAATAATTCAAGATTATTTAATGGCCTGCCCATAAAAGATGAATAATCTTTAATACAAAGCAGAGCAAAAACCAAAACGGAAATAGTATCTTTCGCTAATGTTATACAAATAAAGAGTTTGTTCTATAGGACTCATAAATCTTAAATTGAAACATTTGAAAGTACTTAGCACTTACTTTCTGTATTTAAAGCCTCAACATTTAAAAAGAAAGAAAAAAAGGAAATCAAAGTCTTTGCTCTTGATGAAAACTTTATAATTTGTTTTTGGATGGAGAACAACCGCATGAACGGCAGAGACCAAAGCCATCATTGTTTCAGCATAGCATAGCACAGTAACAACAGCTGGCTGTGTCGTTCTTTTAATAACCATTTCTTGAGGGCCTACTATGGAGAAGGCACTGTTTCATTTGTTGGTTAAGCGCCTTACAAACATGATCTCCCTAGTAATCCAATAACGTTATTCCCATTTTTGGATGAGAAAGTATCAACTCAAAGACGAAAATAAACAAGCCCAAGATAACAAAACTGGTAAAGGGGGAAGCAGGATTCAGGCCCAGCCCATCTCATTCGTCCACATTACTATTTACTGGATAAGGAATTAAGAAGTCCAGTGGAGTAAGCCAGGGAAATTTAAATCACACATGATTTCATTTTGTCTTGTGTCCTGGCGTTCTGAGGGGTCTTTTGCACAGACATCCTTTTGGATAGAGTTTGAACTTCTGTCTGCCTGGGAACTGGAAGCACAGGGGAATCTGTACGCGTCAAACCCAAATGCGGGGCCTGATGCTACGAAGGTTATCTGGGAGGATCGTGTAAACATCCTTTAATCTGTCTTGACTGGAACAAAGCTATGAAATTAGACCAGGCACTTAGTTTTAAAAATAAAACAATGATCTCCACGCTAACCATCCGCCAGCCTGTGTCAAGAGGACAGCACTAGTGTATTACTCTTAGACGATTCCATGAGGATAGAGTGCGAACAGTTCTCTTACCCAAAACCTCAAGCTCCCAGAGAAATGTGGCTCAATAGTGCAAGGCAAATTCCAATTAAAATCCTGAGCCAGAATATGATAAAGGGAATCCGTCAAAAGATCCCATCGGAGCCCTTGGGATAAAGTTCAAATTGCTGAGCAGGCAGCCACAACTGGAGAGTGTAATACAAAGCCAAATCCCCAGCAGCAGTGGGATGTTCGCGCATCACACTGTCGTGTGTTAGGAGCTCTGCAGACTTTGCCTGGAGTGTGGCCAGAGCAGGATGGCCCTGCGGCCAAAACCCTGAACGACACCGGAAGCGGTTCAAGTACTGGCTTTGTTCTTTGCACTTCCTGCTCCTCCCCTTTGCCAATCCGGCCCCACTTCCTACCTTTCCACCATTTAAAAATCAGGGCGTTAAATAGCAATGAAAAGCAATAGCAAGGTGGAATGTCAATATGTATTAAAATTCGTTCTATGCCAGGCGGCCTACCATCTATTGTAGACTAATTTTTAGCTAAGAAAAATGAATTGTTTTTAAAAAATTAAAGTGCAAACACATTACAATTATTTACCCAGTTAAAGAATACGTTTATAAGCGGTTTACATGAAATCACCAAAGCTGCAAGAAGCCCCCAGAACTAGTAGAATATTCCTGTAGCTTCTCTATTTAGCAAAACCTCGTCTCAGCTGAGAGGGACATCAAAGAAAGATCAAAGGCCTGGGATATGTATGACTCAGAACTTCCTTAAAACTTTCATGTTTTTATTTAACACACCTTTATAGTTATCATATAAAATTAGTTATAGTCACTCGGTGATCAGTCTGAAAATCATAATTCAACTATTTTGTTCTTTCCTTGGTACGAAAAGTTAGATCTATCAAAAAAGCTGTCAATATAGAGAAATACCTAAGGTACATTTTTAAAATATGAGTGTAGGGCCATACCCTGGCCAAATGTGGTAAGAATCTGAAAAGATGGGGCCCTGACTGGTGATTTACAAGTTTCTGGATGATTCAAATGTTCAGGTAAAACAGTTACTTTAGGTTGAGAAGTTCCTCACATGAAAACTAACATATTGCAATGGCTTAAGATATATATGGCAGAAATTATACATATAAAACAGAAATATAGCCAGGAAGTGGTGATGTATCCCTGTAATCCCAGGGCTTTGAGAAGCCGAGGCAAGTGGACTGCAAGTTATTATACAATTTCACAATTTAGCAATTTAGCAAGACTGTGGCTTAAAATTTAAAAAATTTTAAAAAGCACCAGAGATGTAGCTCAGTGAGAAAACCCTAGGTTCAAGTCCTAGTACTTATATAAATAAATAAATATAATATAATATAGACATAAATAGTACTGTATATATATATATATATATATATATATAACTGATCAACTTCTCTATAACAAGTTTTGAGACTGAGTCTCACTATATAGTTCAGGCTATCCTTGAACTCACTATGTAGTCTAAATTGCCCTCGAACTCCAGAGGATCCTCCTGCCTCAGCCTCCCAAATGATGGGATTATAGGTGTGCCCCGTCACATCTGGGTTGTGTAGGTTCTTATTCCACTGATTTAAAAGACAGAATAAAATCATTGATTTCAGAGTTAAAGAATTAAGGGAAGAAACTGGTGTCTGCCGTGAACATGGGGAAACAAAAGAAAGCAAGGAAGTATGCGACCATGAAGCGAATGCTTAGTCTCAGAGATGAGAGACTCAAAGAAAAGGATAGATTAAAACCTAAAAAGAAGAAAAAGAAAGATCCCAGTGCACTAAAGGAAAGAGAAGTCCCCCAACATCCTTCCTGCTTATTCTTCCACTATAATACACAGCTGGGCCCACCCTTATCATATCCTGGTTGATATCAACTTTATCAACTTTTCCATCAAAGCTAAATTGGACTTAGTACAATCGATGATGGACTGTCTGTATGCCAAGTGTATCCCTTGTATAACTGATTGTGTAATGGCTGAAATTGAGAAATTGGGACAGAAGTATCGAGTGGCTGTAAGGATTGCTAAGGATCCACGATTTGAATGATTACCTTGCACACATAAAGGAACCTATGCAGATGACTTCTTAGTGCAAAGAGTAACTCAACACAAGTGTTACATTGTGCCCACAGTTGACCGGGACCTTACATGGAGAATCCAGAAGATCCCTGGAGTTCCTATCATGTACATGTCTAACCACAGATAAAACATTGAGCGGATGCCAGATGATTATGGAGCCCCTTGGTTCTAATTTTTACAAGACAAAAGTTCCTCCGCCTTCCCTGGACCAACTTTCTGTTTTCAGTTCACTGAACATGCTACAGCTTGAATTATTATTCACCTATTTGCTCTGTTATCAGCCAAGTATGGTTAAATACATTTACTCTTTTGGCGGGGGGTGGTACCAGGGATTGAACTCAGGTCCTTGCATTTATGAGGTAGGCAGCGGCACCACTGAGCTAAATCCCCAGCCTGTGTTTACTTTAAAATTTGTTGCATCTTTTTATAAATCAGGTGCTCCATTGGCGGTTTACATAATTTGATTTACTCAACAAACATTTATTAAGTTTATGGTGGGTACTTATTAAGATATGTTCCTATCCTGAAGACACTTATATAGAAGAGAAAAACATATAAATGAATAAATGCCATAAAATTTTTTAAAAAGTTAAAGAATTAAAATTAATTTTAGTTTAAAAAGTTTTAAAAAGCTAGTTTATTCTCAAAATCTTAAAAATGTTTCATTCTGGAAAAACAAATATTGCGCTGGTTCTGTGTCATAAATAGAAACTTAATTAAATAGCATTCTGACTTTTATTCAGAATCTATTTAATAAAAGCAAATTAATTTATTTGTAATACTGTCTGAATTTCACACTTGGTAGCAAGGGTCAAATATTGTTGACTTCTTGCAACAGTAACTAAATAATAAACCTTGATGATAATCCAAATCTTTGATGATAATTATTTTCTTTAAGCTGTGCTGTGCTGGTTTATGAACATTTATGTCTAAAATGTTTCTAAGGCTCTGGAAGAATATCTAGTGTTTTCTAATGAAGAGGAAGACTTTGTATTAGGATCTGTTGAATGCCTTGACTTTG